TGCGACCCGGATAGTGGTAGTGTCTTTGACTATTAAGCCTAGTGACATGTGGTCCAATTCGCCAGGGAGCACTAATCCCTTCAAGATTCCAGGTACACCTTACTGCCGAATGCCATATAGCACGAAAAGTAGATCCTCGATTTTTTGTTGAATACCTCCAACCACCACCTTACATCTTAAAATAATGCGCGTGATGTTGAGTCACTTATACTAAGGCCACATTACAACTTCATCCATAGAGTTCGATCAGCGCTAAGATGAACTCGGCATACATATCCCTGTTTATTACACAATGATCAATCAATGGTGAAAGGTGAGATTATCTTAAGCACTATCAATAAACGTAGAAAATCATCTAACTACGACAAGTATTCCTCATTTATATTCAGTTTGTTACTAGACAGTTAAGGTGCTCAGTATGTATTCATTTAATCAACAAAATTCATATTGTATTGTCACACAAGTATGTTTATCAATAAAGATCTAAGTAAATAAGTTTAAGACCGAGTTTTGTGTGAATCGACTGTTTAAAAGTATTCAATCAACAATCATTTACATCATCCGTTTACACTTACTTTAATGACAGCCTTTTCAAACACATTAAAAACTTATTTTTTTACGGCTTCATATAACATATTTACAATAATCTAATCATGTATCGGTGTATCTAATACACTTATATGCTCGAACAAATATATTCAGACTAATTGAATAAACTGTAATTGTTAACTAGGAGTAAATTGTTGAGGACTTATCTGTCAAATAAACCATACAAAAAAAAACGCCGAAAGAAACTACAAATTAGATGTAATTAGAGTAATAACAAAAATCAATAATATTTAGACATAATTCTTTACTTAAGCAATCAGTTTAAAGAAAATTAGTTTGACGATGATTACAAGTAATATTCAGTGTATCAGGGAAGATTATTAGTATTGTCATTTACAATTACTGTCAAAAGAATGAGATCTATTATTCAAATTCTTAGAAATGTCTCCATTCTATTGTAACTATGACAAAGTATTAAAGGTATGGATTTACTAGTTAACAGAAACTAGCCTATCCTAACCATGGCGATGGACAGGCTTCATAGTAATAAAAACATATGACAAATTATTATTTAAATGTACTTGTATTGACAATATGGAAAGTTATTCCTGATAGTACTTGATTGATTGACCATAGTATTCCAAAATACATATAACAACCACAACAATATTTTTAAATATCATAAAATTGAAGGTTGAAATAGAAACAGTCTAGGGAAACGTGTAGTTATTTTCATTTCATCCAAAAGTTGAAATGAATCACAAGACTCTAAAAAATTCATATTTAACCTTTTTATTAACATATCATGTATTAATTGTGTAAAACCTACCACGACCAGAATTGTTCTTAACTTTCAGACAAATTCAAGCGCTAATTCAACCACAGTTTTGATTATTAACATAACAAAGTTATGGCACGTCCTCTTTTTCTAGTTTTACGTCTTTGAAAATATGAACATTCCTCAACACGCAACAGTGGTTGCTGCTTATTGCCGAATAAAATTGAAAACCAGGTTAAAGACTCATTGATAAAACTTTGCATGGAAAGATTATATAACATTTTGAATAAGAATGCAATAAAATAAATTTCTTTGCCTGAAAGCTACACAATAAATCAGCTAATGGATGAATTACGGTCACATGAAGCCCACATTATTAGTAGAAACTTAAGAATAGTTTATTAGATGACCACAGTCTAAGCAATGAATTATTTTATCAAAAAGGATTCTACAAACTGCAATAAAATATACAGTGTACACTTGTGTTGAAAAAAACCTACGTAGACAGATTTATTGAAATAGAACACATAACGAGACTATTCTAGCTGAACTGTAACTTCAAAAATCTAAAATTAATCCATCCGAACGGCAAGTAAATACGGTATGCCAAGCATTAGTGACTTTACGTAAAGGTCATAAACTGTGAATGTAACCTAAAAACAACATAAGCCTCTAACCAAAACAGTCGAGTCAACAATATTTTGGTATGACAGGAAGCTCTACATTAAAAGTAAGCTTTTTAAGACCAAATAGGTTATCTAGTAAGATAGTTATAAAAAGACTTCTGGTATCCTGCAAGACTTCTGTCATCATTGCAAACGTTTTGAAAATTCACCTGCCTTAAATATTATGTAATGATAGTCCCACCAATTTTCTTTTTATAGAAGCAGAGGTCAATATAGTCCATCCTATAGATTAAAAAACTTGACAACGTGGTTTAAATGTTCCTTCTATGTTTCCAATAAGTTTGGTATGATTGCTATATATTCATCTGACTTTGAGTCCCCACTCCACTAATGTTATTTTTCTGGTTATTGATATCAATATATGCATGTCAATATACTCCGACTCTTGAAGTTGACTTTCGAAAACCCGATGCATTGATAATGTACTCCATGGATCACAGATTGATAATCTCGAAAAGCATAAATTGTATAACTGACCAATGCAAATCTGACTTCACAGTGTCTTTTTAATCGAGTTCCCCTTTATTTAATTTTTGTTTATTACTGTTTTGATAATACACTTGTTACCAGTCAACATTGGGACTAAAGCTATTCTGTTATTTGAAAATTTGAAATATTTGTTAAATGGAAATATTGTTTTTATTCTACGAAACATCGGTGTTTATTTATCACTTACGGCAGTCCCGTCAAATCTAGTCAATTGGGCTGTTCTACCACTACAATCAAAACCATTGATTAAGAACGTTGAACATTGATAATGATCGTTATAGTGTTTATGGAATAAAGTTATTGTGAGATTATTGAGCTAACAATCGTTTCGGAGATGATTATAGGAAGTGTTTATAATGTTTTCCAACTGTAAAGCTCTTGACAATGCTTTAGTTAAGAGCAGGATGACTACTCTCTATTAGCATTTTGACAACTAGATTTTACAGAACAGTTCACATTCGATATCTGTCACAGTAATGGTGCCACGAACAAAATAGCTGACTCATTTTGAACAGCATTTGGTAACTGTTTTCTCTATCTTTTAAACTATCAAGTTTATCGTCGTTACAGAAGACTGAGATTAATTTAAGTGCATCTATTGAACGTTACAAAAAGTTTGTTAAAAGTATCATTTACGTAGTATTTTACACAATAAAAACGGAATTATAGAAACACTTATGTCACCGTAGAGCTTAAAAATTATAGTTAGTTAATAAAAATTGTTTACCGAATGATTTATTATTCAAACAGCCTCCTTCAATTTACATTTGACTCACCCAACTCATGCACATTCTAATCAATAATTTTATCTACCTTTTAAACTGGTTCATTGTAAGTTAAAACTGATACCCTTATCATGAAACATATACTAATTATCCAGTGATTCAAAAGAAAATAATAACATTTAACAAATTCTCAATTCTTTGTAAGTACTCTCAACTTCATTTATCATATGTCGTTTACAAATAACAATTCATTTAAATAAGTAAAGATGGATAGTGGCTAGCAGTGGAATCCAGGAAACAAGTAAAATACCATGAAGCAAATTTGATGGAATATAGTGGATAACCTTAAAAGCTTCATTCAATTCAACACGAGGTCCTGTACCCACCAAGTGAGAGAGAAACGAACTCTTATTCACTCTTACCTGTCCTTTGCTCAACCAAGACGGATGGTATTCTGCCATGCGATGACAGACATGCCGAAATGTTATCCACCATATTCCATCAAGTTTGCCACATGATTTGCATATTGCTGAAGCCATTGGAATACATGTTTACAAACCAAACCTTTGTATCTAAAAGAAACTTGACAACCACTCTCGCTACCTAGGCTATCGGTAAAGGAGTGAGTTGGTATCAGAACATTGATAAACCATTTTTTAATTTCCTCCAGTTTTGTATTTTACATATACTCAACATCCTATTTACATCTTCATTTGGTTGATAAGTCTTTAATATTTTCATTAAACAGTTGTGTGTGCTAACCGCAGATGTTATTTAACAAGGAGGTATTAAAAACGGTTATGGATTCACGATTTGTTTGTATGGGAGTTGGTGAATGTTTAATGTCGAATAAGCTGATGCTGCAGCGATCATTAATTTATTGAGAATAGTGGAATTTTCCTTATTTTTACCTGTTTCTCATCTACATCACTATGTAGTGTAATATGGGATAGGATCTAATTAAAAGGAGCCTTAGAGTGTTAAATTTGTATCAAAAGCAGTTGACTAAGTTACCGGGTGTGGTCAACAGAATAAACACAACTTTGTTTAATACAAATCATAGTATAGTACGAATTGATTATGATTTTTGATGTCACTTAATCATCATGTTCACTCTGATGCATTGGTTATTTATATAACTTTAATAATGACCTTCGAGTTGAATGATCTATCACTGTGATATATTTTGTCTAGTGCTGCAAGGCAATGAAAAAACCTGTAAATCATTTTATCACTTAGTCTGAAACTCATCACATCTATATAATCGAAATGAGCCTTACTAACAAGAATGTATAGCAAGAGTTCCCCGATCGATTTTTTAATTGTTCAGAGATTCCTCCATTCGTCCAACGAAAACCACAAGTTCTAGTAGTTAAGCTCTGAATACAAATGATAGGTGTTATACAGATATGTTTTAATGGATTTGGGCAATGTTCTACCAATAATAACTAATCGAAGTTAAGTAACCTGTAAGGCAATTCTGAGTTATATCAATTAATCAGTTAATTACAAGACCTTGATTTCTAAGTTTCATAGATTTTCTTATCATCAAGAATTCAGGATTTATCTACGTGTTTAATTTCAACACTATTAATCAGATCAAGTCCTAATCTAAATGAAACAAATTATTGATTTCAAGATCACAATAACTGTGTGTGATTAGAAATATTTGATGTAAGAAAATTGACCAATCAAAAGTGTTGAAAACAAGCGATTTGTATGACTCATTACTTTTATATGAGTTAACAGTTTTACAAAAAAAAGTTAATTCTGTTCAGTTGGTTATCAAACATGGGCGTAAATGACTATGAGCATATCTTAAATGGTAAATATATATTTGTCTTTTTACATAATTTCTAAATACTATTGTGGGACAATTTATTTCATAAATAAACATACATTACAAATTTATGGTATGATATGGTATTATAATTACGTACAAATACGCATTATTTTTATTTTAGATTGGCTGAGAAAATATTTTTATACAAAAATCAATAGATTACATAAATAAATAAAATTCAACGTGAATATAATGTCCAATATATTGAATGAGTTTCACTCTGTTCACCCTTTTCTGTATCACTTGAACTGAACGCACATAAATTGGTTGTTTTAGTTGATGATTAAAAACATAAACTATGAATTGACTAAGTACTTTGATGAATGGATTTATTTAAAAAGTCCCTCCAATTTTTGAAATCAGTAATTAATGGTAAGTGTCATATATATTTCAATATATTTTGTAAGAGTATCCATTGTTCTTTTATGGTTCAATAATAAAAGGGAATATTTCGTGTAGTTTATGTGGTGTTAGACGATAATAGCAATATGCAAAAATAAACGTAATGTTATGAATATCTTTATTCAAAGTTTTAACGTTTATTTATGCTTTACATGACGAGCTTTAACATAAGCGACTTTCATTAGCCCGTATTATTTAAACGTCTATCTTTTACAAGTTTCTGTGTTAAAGATTTCTCATTACTAACTCTTTCGAATCACAGGCTTGAAATCACATCACATTACGAAGGAATCCTGTGAAAAACAGACAATGTTTAAATTATCACTTATTGTTGTTTCCTGTAATAAACAAAGTAAAGATGGTCCGTTACTGCTGAATCATAGGAAGTTAAACTTCCCATTTATCAATAGGAAAATATTGTTCAAAAGCAGGCGGTTCTCTCGTCCATCTATATGAATGATTGTTTATGTTTGAAATTGATCTATATTTCTGTTCTATATGTGGTTTCCTAGAGAACATACACTTCAAGTTTACGTTAAAATGAAACTCAGATAATTCGTGAATCAGTTTTGTACTTCCACTATTTTCCCACGAATCCAGCACTGGTTGTGCATCAATATATACTGATAGTCCATACTAGATCGACTTTCATATTGATGTGTGTTGATCAAATGAATACAAAATGAATATTTAACATGTATTCTAAGCTGAAAATAAAGCCTTATGATAATCAAAAATAGTATGCAAATATAAATAGGTATACTGAAACATGAATTTTATTGTACTATTATGTCTTTTGTTTTGAATGGGAGGAAATATGTGTATAAATCCTGGTGAAAATTGATGGTTATATACAGGGCTAAATTAATTTTCTAGTTTAATTTTTCATGAACCCGAGGATTTTACTTTCAGTTATCTTTTATATTTATCAGCAAATTCACACAAAATTATTCGAATTATTTAACATTTGTACAAATAATTTAGCGAAAGAGAAATATTATAATGAGGTTTAAAGCAAACTCAATTAGGTTACTAAAAGAAAGAAGATGCATTAATATTTAACAAATATTAGATGAAGATAACTCCTCACAAATCGATATAAACTGCTTAATTAATGGTTAATCGTTGCCTCAAACTCGATTATATCAAAGGATATGACAAATAACTAGACATTTAAATAGAATCAAACGTACAGAAAAAAGGTCAAGTTTTCTTTGTATGTTAAGTTTTTTCAACAAGAAAGTTTGATATCACAGCTTTAGATATTGGAAGAAAACGACTTCACTCAACATAATTAAAAAATTTAAATAATATAAATTATAAAAAAGAAAGCCAGTTTGACAGAAATATAATTTAATTTTACTTACAATTATTGCTTTTATTATATAGTGAATTCAGAAAATGTTTTTGAATGTTACCAAATATATCATATTTTAGTAGAACAATCATAATTATAATGTTAAAAGTAAATGTAAGCTATGATTTCAACTATTAAAATTTCTAAGGTCTCCACGAAACCGCTTCTGATAATAATCATCTGCTTACTATTGACTGACTTCAGGAGGCATTTCCTGGAGTTCTAGTGAGAAGCCGTTACCAGTGGAGTTCAACCAGGTTTGTTGTGAGGTATCAGCTCATTAAAGATAATGGTGTACGGTGGTGCGATTTCGTGGATTAGTTGAAGTTAGACATTAACACCGTTAGATGCCGGCTCAGTGGTCTAATGATTGAGCGCTCGCGCGCGAGACTGATAGGTCCGCGGTTTGAATCCCGCGGAGCAGGATAGTGAATGCGCACTTCTGATAAGTCTCATGCTAGGACTAAACGGCCTTCCGGGTTTTCTATGGTGGTCTAGCTTCAATTGGCTCATGATTTAAACTATCGAAATATAAATTAATTAAAGAATAATAAATTATTATTTCCAACATTAAAACTATCCAGCTAGTTTTGGTCATTTCAGTTTGTTCACTATTTTTGGTACAATTATATTTTTTTAAAATAATTTGTACGTTTTGTTTATAACATAAAAGAATACAAAAATGATGGTGAATATTTGTAGCACAAAATGTAACTATAGTAGATGTTATAGTCTTTGAGCTGAATAGGTTAATTGCGAAGTTTTACACAAATATTGATCCTAAAAATGGATTGAGAAAAAAAATTGTAATTAGAATTTACAGAAACAAAAACATTTAGTTGTTTTGTGTAGATTTGTTTTAGCTCAGTTACTCATATATTTCTGGTTGTATGAACTTTTTCAAAACAAAACTGACTACTAAATTCATTATTTTAAATTCATTCAAAAATATTTTATACATGAGAATTGGTTTCTAACATTTATTTGTAATCATAAAATTATTTGGTTTAAATAATGATAATTGACAGATGAGTGTCTGTAAGAAGATTGAATTCTATCTTAGAAAAAAGTTGCTTGTAATATATACTATCAAGCTGTACAATCGTATATATATATAAAATTTTTGTAAAAGTACTAATTCCGTGAGGAAATGTGAACACAGTTAACCATGACATAATAAAAAGGGGTTATAATACTAGATTACGTAATACGAATAATAACAATAGATTTAGTGAATATAATAAGATGATTAAAACAACGATTAGAAGAACATTTAATGCAGCTAAACTGCGAATAACATTCACTAGTAGGAACTTATTTTCTGTATCCATAAAAGATAAGCTTCCGCGTCTGGTCGCCTCTATGTGTATCTATCAGTTCACCTGCTCCTGTGGATCAAGGTACATTGGCCGTAGCCAGCGCTCGCTTTCAACTCGGATACGGGAACATATTCCAGCTTGGTTCTATAAGGGTGAAAGGAAAGCAGTTAGGAGTTCTATACTTGAACACCTTATCGACTGTAACCATTCTACAGATCCACAAATTGATTTTAAGGTTGTTTATATGATTCGTCCAAATCTACCTAGATTTCTTCGTATCCAACTCTTAAAAATAGCCGAAGCTCTTACCATTCAGGAGCTTAAACCAGAACTATGCGTACAAAAGAAGTACGTCTTATCGCTATCGTTACCTTGGCCTTAATTATTTTGATTATTCTATTATTATTATTATTATTATTATTATTATTATTATTATTATTAATGTTGCATTCCCCCCCTTTACTTATGTCTTATATTCTCATTGTTTTTATTCGTAAATACTCATCATATTACCTTATTTATTTATTTTTCACACCTCTATGACCTTTAAGTATTATAACAAAAAAACATTTTAATCATCTTATTATATTCACTAAATCTATTGTTATTATTCGTATTACGTAATCTAGTATTATAACCCCTTTTTATTATGTCATGGTTAACTGTGTTCACATTTCCTCACGGAATTAGTACTTTTACAAAAATTTTATATATATATACGATTGTACAGCTTGATAATAAATTCGTTGAAAAGAGATCCCTTCGCTGAACTTCGTGTTTTAATTTTAATGTTTAAATGGGAATTATCTGTAATATATACGACAAAAATAATTATATCTTTTTTTAATTTTAATATTTTCTACTATTAATGATACTGTTACCATTTGTACTGTTTTGGTACTTCATTGTCATGTAACAGTGAGACAACTTGGACAGATACATATATATTTCACATTCTATTTGATGAATGATCAATTGACTGACATGTTTTTAACAAATCCTTTGATTTTATTAAAATAAAGTATAAAGAAGAGTTTTATTTACTCATATAACTCTTTTTTTTCCTTCAGAAAAAAAGATTTTTTTATGACTATAGCGTTACAAACGAGTTTAAAACGGATTCATGTAATCTAAATTCATGCTTATAGATGTTAAGAATGTATACTTTAGTATTGATTATTTCGTCTTTTTGTTTGATTTCATTATTTTTTTAAAAAAGGCTTTTCAGCCAATGTGTAGGATTATAGAATATTTATAAATGACTTTATATGGTCTGAAATTAACACACCCTATGTAAATCAATAAAATTTAGATGTAAAACATTAAAAACAAAACAAACAAACAATGAGACATGTTTATAATTCTGAATTTCATTAAGAATTTTTTGATAATAATTATTTCTATGACAAAAAAATCCATTTCATATATTGTGTGTATGGTGACTTGTTTGTGAATTAACTTTGAAAGTTAGATTATATTCTGTCATATAACGTGTACACTAGAAGGATTCATATTACAATAATTTTAAGAGAATAATATGAGTTTGACTTATTTAAAATTGGTATTCTTAGAATATGAATATGGTGCTGAAGTCAAAAAACATATACTGAAATATATTCGTAATGATTTAACGTCAAAAAGGAGAATATAATAAAGCATGCCCCTCGATAACAAAACTAATAGTTAAAATAAAGATAGAACGAACATGGATGACGAATAATGTGAATTCATTATATTTCGTGGTTTCTCATCAGCTGATTACAACCAATTATGTATTAAAATTTTACATTGAGGTAAGATATAATGTGGAACAATTGATATTGAATTGGGATGACAAACGGTTAGGGTTTTAGAATAAAAGTAAAACATGAGAAGTGGGTGATGTAATAAGATAATTCAAGAGTTAATGAAGAGTTTACATAAGATTCATGGAGTTGAAAAATCTGGTAAGATCGGTTACGTAATAATTGGACAGGAATTGAAGAATTTACATAATTTAAGAGAATCAAGTGAGTGGAAATGTGTGAGTGAAAAGGTGGTGACAAAGTTCATCCAGAATTATGCCAAAACCAACCCTCAGGTTAAGTACGATAGAGTGGAAATGAAAACCGGCTTCTTATACTTACGCTTCAATGAAGATGAAATCACCGCGTTGAAGATGACCTACCCAGCAGTAAAACTGATGATGCTATGGGAAACGAACTGCTCGCTGAAATAAACTAAAATTGAAAGGTCTTTTTTTCCAGTAGTTTCAAATGCATTCACCGATTAACATGTACGTGTCAAAGCACATA